GATGCCAGAACAAAATATTTAGAAAATAGAAAATGTTCTAATGCTGTAATTGGATTAATTTAGAAGTTCACATAGCATCTTTCTGGATAACAAAAAACCAAAAACACCCAATTAAAGTAAAGGCTGTATTTCTTAGTATGTATAAATGGTTACTGGTGACACTCAAATAATGTTCTTATAAGAAAATAAAGGCTAGCATAACAATGTCAAAAAACAGGTTCTCTCTTCAGGTAGTTAAAATCAAGCCACTTGGTAAAGTGTGCAATGTTAGCTCCTAGATTAGTATCTTAGTTTAAGAATTTTCTCACTTGAAAAAAAGGGATTATCAGTCATTACATATATAGAGAGAAAAAGATGCAAATTTCTATGTAAATGTTTAACAGCTGCAGCAATCTACTAAATACTTATCAATACATTGATATTCCTCATTTCCTTTAAGGAAATCACTTTGTTTTCCTTTCTTGACAATATTAGCTATTCCAATTTGAAGTACATAAAGTATCCTCATTTTTTTTTGGAAAAAACAACAACTCAAAAATCATTTAAAAAATAAAAACCCAGACATCTTTTTGCTTTTTTTTTGACTTTTGAATGTCTTTCTTTGTTTTGGTTTGTTTTTTGGGTTTTTTTTAAAGTATTTATTTAATAACTTTAGTTCTCTTACCACACAGCAGCAGCTGTGTTTTAAACAGAATAAAACACAAAAAAACCCACAAAGTGAACACTAAGGAACTCTCCCATCTTTCCCAAAAGGTTCTAAGACTAAAAATTTCATGGATGTCCAAGTGCATTCTAGATGAGACCAGTAAAGACACTATTCCATTTGTGAAATATTCATAGGCTGACAGTGCACATGCTTATTTGAACTTGACTGTCTTCTCAGTGAAGACAAGTTAGTAAAGACATCTTAAACAATTAAGCCCAAAAATACTTAGAATTTTTAAAGACCATCAAGTGAAAGAACTCATGGTAGTGATTACTAAACTCATTGAGACAAATCACACACAACATTATTTTTTTGCTTTTTAACCATACTCTCATAAACTGGGACTGGGACAAAATTCTCTGCATGTTGAAGGTTGTGCAGAGATGTCAAGACAGCCGCAAGGAGAAGTCCTTTTAATCAACCACAGTAACAAAGCCATTGAAAGACTATTTTGAGATCCACACTAAGAAGGAATGACTGTTGTTCTGCCTTGTTATTGACAGAAACAAATAGTGATGAGGACTTCACATCATTGAGTTCAGTTATTCGTATTGCAAGTAACCCCGCCATAGTCCTCTCATAGCTGTTTTTTTCTCTTGCACCATCTTACAATCATTTGCCTTTTCAAACACCCTCAGTATACTGGTAGCTCCAAGTCATTCTCAGAATAGCTAAGAAAGAGAATTTATGTATTTTTAAGTGCTGAGTTTCTACCTCAGAGCAAGAGAAGAACTTCATTCCCTAAATACAAGTTTTCTGCTTTATACGAGAAGAACTGAACTAAACATCAAGAGCAGCTAGCTCGTCCTTTGAAGTATATTGTTAGTCCTGCATATACTGATGATGCGTTCCAAGTTTGTTATCAATAATTTTCATAATGCTTCCATGCTACTGTTAAGGAGAACATTAAACAAAATTGATCCCAGCATCAACTCTTTAAGAACTGGTCTTCTATTCTCCTTCTGATCCAGTAATTTCTCTTTCATCTTTCTTCAGACTATTTTTGCCCTATTTTAATTAATCTGCTTATTCTAGTTGTACTAATTATGTTGCACGCTACAAAGTTCTCTACTAAATTCCACAATTGAGAAATAGCAGCCATCTTGCCAAGAAAGCATCTCATGTTTACTCCTAACATCCTCCTATATTTGGATATGTTTCTTTTACCCAGATAGACTGTGAAATCTTCCCCACAACATCCTTCTTCTTGCCTGGAATGCCACTGTCATATATGTTTCTATTTTCTGAATTAAGAACACGTGTAAGTTAAATCCTACTTAAGAATCCCGAAGGGACAGGAATCTAAAAGGAATCTAATTATTCATTTGCATAAAAACTATCAAAACCACTTCTGTACTCTTCTCCTTTGTGAAAACATGAGGCAAACAGGAAAATATCTACATTTTACCATCTCAATTTAATTCTGTTGCACAAATTTTCCATTCCAAACATACTGCATTACCCAAGGAAGAGTTCTAGTGGTTCAGCAACATCTGACCTAAAGTCTCTATACTATTATTTACTGTCACCTTTTCAACAGAACCATCCAGACCTTGTGGATTTGTTGGGCTTCTCCTGGGTTCAGCTAATGATTATAAATGGCAAAGAATAGCTAATTTAATTGCAAAAGGTAATGATGCAGTGAGCAGAAGATTAAGTTTCACCCCAGAAGGTAACGTCCTCAAAACAATAATAAAGAGAGTGATCAAGAGGACAGGAGAAGCTTGTCTTAATGCAAATACAGGCAAATATTCCTGTATATACTACTGTAATAAAGAAACAAGTTAGCAAAATACATTGAAAAGAAAAAAACCCACAGTACTGTATAGGAGTTATGGTTATTAAATACTTCCTATGACAGGTTGACCAGGTATTTCAGGGAATTAATAAACCAGTAATTTTATTACAAAGTAATAAAGGTCTGACAATATCAGAAATACTAAAATTCTTCAGGCTAATTCTACTTAAACAATGTGACTTGTAACTCCCAGGCAGAGAGAAGAGATGCACCAATTAAAAGTCTCTAAAGTTTTGATCAGTAAGTAAACAGAGATGTTGGCCTATAGAAAATCGTCAAGACACGTATTTTCAGTTTTTCACCAATACTACAACTGAGTTTTACATTTACTTTTTCAAAGATGAAAAGGTCCTCTTTATTAATATCCCAGAAAAGGGTGTTTTTACACTCTGATCAAAAAGTATTAATATACAAGGGTTTTTAGGGTTTAACATATTTTCGATTCAACAATCCATTATAAACAGGATATACACAGAAAGAGATCACTAGTTCACCAGCAGCTTACTGGCTGAACACTTCTTGTACACAGTGATAACCAAATGGAAAACATTTATTGCTTACCCCTACCAATGCTATCTATTACTAAACAACTTGTCCTCACAGATTTGTCTCCCACATTCCAAACATGACAAAATTAAAGATGGGGTGAAGTTATCATTTTTTGTTTGGTTTTGATTGTTTCTTTAAACAGAAACCCATCTCAATAATGAAATATTTCTTACTTTCTTTCTCGTCACTTCCTCTAACTGTCATTCCTATGTAATTTTTGTAAATATAAAACTGCTACAGAATATTTTTATTTTTTTATCCAGGCTTCTATGGATTCTGACAGGGAGTTAATCTCCTAGGAAGGAAGTAATCTTCAAAGACTTCAGAAATACACAGCAGTTGAATCTAGGCCTGAAAAAACCCTATGATACTGCACTTGACATTGTCATCATTTTAATTTTTAGTAAGTCTACAGTAGGCATTTTAAAGTGATGCTCATGGTTTTCTCAGAGTCTTGTTCAGTTGTAGTATGGTTAACTCAGGAACCCACCCACGTGTTTGTGACATACTTGTTGCAGACAAAAATTCAACAGGAATACAACAATACCAGTCATTATAGAAGAGACCCACCTGGCTGCATAGAAACAAGATTCCTGAGTCAAGATTTCATGAACTTTCACTATTAAACTTCATTTTAAGAGTGATCACTGACTCAGTGATGAAGCAAATATTTGCTTAAGAGTAACTCAAAATTGCTTGTGCAGAAGGCTGAGAAGCCAATGTGTTACACAGACAATAAAAAAGAAATATTGACTAATGGAGAAATAATGCAAATCCAGTGGATACAATGCTACAGACAGGCTCCTAGAGGTCTTCTGAAACTCTCAATATCAATTTGATAAAAACAAACCAAACCAAACCTACTTTGAAGAAGCCTTGGAAGGTAGTGTAACACCTATTGAAGATCCATGTGAAAAAAAAGCTGAGGATTCCTCATCTAGTGAAGGAACCCCAAGAGCTTTATTATGAACAAAGTATTAAATTACATCACATTACATTGACACTATGCAAAATAATAATAATTCAAGACATCATCTATTTGCGTAAAGTCAGATGGTACAACAGGGATGAGTTTACAAACACATGTTGACTCTTTAAGCAACTACCAGTTGAAAAATCTGATCCTGTAGCATCCAAGAAAAGAAACTAGCCCTGAACTATGATGATTTAATTCAAGAAATGACAACCGATCATCTGAATAATAATGTCCTTGATATAATTGATTTCCACTTTTAGGACAGATATTGACCTAAATGACTCCACAAAGAAACATCTGAAGTTTTCTGTATACAATCTATGTCATTATACTGAAATAAGAAGACTTCTTTGTTTATCTATAAGAGGTAGCATAATCAAACAGAAATCTATGCCAATGACATTTTTATATATGTTCCTGAATAAGAAGGTTTTAACAATGAGCAAAATAATTTGAATGGAAATTATGGTACTAGATTAAAGTAATACTGAGAGCTCAAAGCAGTGCACAGTAAATAGAGAAATGTATATTATACTTACACATGCAATAAGGAGTATAAATTAAACAGAGAGCTGCATGGTACTAACCAAAATGAATTAATATGCTATTATCTAAATTCAATCAGTAAAGCCAAAGGTCATTACATTTTTTTTTCTCATATACATTTATCAAATTAGCATTGCTTTACTTTGGATTATTTACTTTAAATCCAGTAGGAAAGCACAGGCAGCTCTAGAAAAAGAAAAAATAACCACCACCAACAGATACAAAAATACCAAGTTGCCTTTTTTAAAACACTTGTATTCAAGACAACTGATAGGGTATTTTATTTTCCCCATGAGCATTAAAGGCCATAAGATATTTCTGAGTAGACAAAAAAATTAGTGAATTCTAGGCTAGGGAATGTAATTGTCTGTACTATATTTAATCTATAATGATTTGGGTTGTTTTTTTTTTTTTAAATATCTTACCACAGCTTTGGCTGAACTTTCCTGCAAATCCCACAATAATATGTTATTATCAGCCAGTGAAATAATCTTTTTACCATCTCCCATTGGTTCCCACATAACACTGTAAAACAGAAACAGAAAACGAAAAAAACACAGCTTAATATTAATATCAGTCAGGATTTGCACTCTATAGCCATTTTAACTCAGTGATTCAAACCTATCACAAAACATATGAAACCATATTCCTTATGGTTTTCTTCAGCTGAAATATATAACGTATTTAAAATGCAAAATCTGCCTTTAACTAGCAATCCAGACATTTTTACACATACTTGATTAACATTATTGCAGCACTGGTTACCTAAAAGCTGTGTGATACCAAACTTAGACTTGCTTGTGTAATCTTTTAGTCCGTGCTAACGTTCATGTTACATTCTTTCTCTTCTGTGCTGTCCCCTCCAAATCTGTCAGAAAAAGAAATGCCACCCAGCTTCCCCAGATGCCAGCCTAACTGTAAAAAGGGAACTTCTCTAAATCCTCACTCCATTTGTCATCCATTCTGCATACTGGATCACACATCAACAATGCAAAACAGAGATAAGTCATTGTAGAAGTGATTTTGCATACATACACAGAAAAGAATGTTCTTGACATACACTTGAGTGCCTTAGCTCGAAACCTCAAAGCTCTCAATAAGTAACGTTGTGCATCTTTTTTGAAGGTGCACCAAAAATTGTATGCCTCAGAGCTTTGATGCAAACCTCTTCTAGTTCAAAAGCTGTCATCATGACTCAATTAACATGTACTTTTTATCTGTGATACACCAGTTTGTTGCTCTGTGAAGGAATGCAAGAAATCAGTCCTGATCTCTAGTTCTGCCTGTGAGAAGCAGCATATTCACGCCAGCCAGTACGGGCAGCACAGCTAAGTACATGGACTAAAACCCTAAGAAAATTTTTTTTGAGATATCAGTAAAATTAAAAGAATAATACTTATTTGATGAGAATAGGTTTCCACACCCAACATTTTATTTGAAATGTTGTGCAACCTCCCAGTTATCTCTTAGTGACAAAATACAGCTGAGACAGAGATCACAGCTTTAGCATCAATAGTGACATGGAGAAACTTCGTGCTATCTCTAGACAAAAACTTAAGTTACTCAAAGGCATTTGATATGCTGTTCTTCTCCTCGGTGCATAGATGAAGAAATAACTGTTGAAGTTTGTCAAAAGGCAAATCTCCAGGCATATACTTTTCTAGTTTGTTCAGCTTTTTCATTTATCAATTTGGTATCTGGACTGAAGAGATAAAAGAAGGTTGCATGAGTAGACGCACCCTTGGGTAAGTCAGCCCAACATTAGGGAGCCACTAATTATTTCCTAACTTGGTGCTGCACACTGTGCATGCTCCTATTTTATCCCAAATTTTGCATTACTCCTACTTCCTAAGACAGTGAGTATGACCTGGCTGGCCCCAGGTCTAAGTCATGGAACTCCATCTAATCTTATGGTATAAAACCCAAGGAAAAGAAACAATCCTGTTTTCCAAAATGAAATTAGAAACAACCACATCATCACACAACTGAATGGGTAACTAAGAAATCTTCAAGCTGATTCTGATCACATTTGTTTATTTTAAGTCTATAAGTCTTCTTGCACACTACTGAAAGTATAACTGGCATTTGGTGTAGATATATTTTTAATTACAGACAACAGAATGTGGTTTGATCAGTTAACTCTCAAAGAGTTCTTCCAGCGGAAGAGAAACATTCTTTATGCCTGTTGATGTATTTGGCCCTGTCCTGCACTGATCACTGAACTGAGTTCAGTAAAAGCTGGATTTGAAGCACTTTATTGGTTGTTTTCAAAGGTAAGAAGAAATTTTGTATCTTTAAGTGTCACTGAACTTCAAGATAAAGACTTTTTATAGCTGAAAACATTGTGCTAATTAGAGCCAATTATAACCCAGCTGACATACCTTCGAATGAAAAGGTCTCTCTACATTCACTCTGTTCTTGTGAAATGCCCATTTTCCTTCTATTTAATTTGTCTTTTATGAAAATTTATTATTTTATGGGTGTGGTTGTAGTGAACATTCAGATTTTATAATCTAAGCAAAGGTGTACTCAAATCACTCTTTGCAACATGTTCAGCTGTATTCTGTAGTCATGACTGAATGTTAAGCATGAAATAACATGTAGAAGTGGGAAAAACATACCAGTAAGTGATAAACACTGGCTTTCAAAATTATAAATGTTAGAAAAACTGAAGTTTTCATTTAGAACAATTTTCAGACACAGCAGAGGTTGCAATAATCTTTAAATAGGAAACCAGATAAACCAGGCAACACCATTCTCCTGAGTGTGCCAACACAGTTGCTGATGCTTATCGTTTTTGGAAATGGACAAGATAACTGCCAAATTCTCAGCTGCCACTCAGAAACAGAGTGTCAACTTCACTGCTGCTTTTTAGAGAATCTATTAACACCAGAGAAGCAATTATATTTGTTGTCTTTTACCCAATTTTGTTATCATCTGACTCCTGATGCTTCAAATTAGCTTCTAGCTAGTAGCTTTTGGTAAAAAAAAATAAATCATACAGAGAACATTTTCCTAGTAATGAAAAAAGACAATTTAACATATTCACTCAAATGCCCACATGGAAGGATGACTACCTGTGTTTTATGCTGACAAGATAGTTAACATCATCATTTATTAACGTACTCAAGATTTACAAATGAGCGATTCAAAGTTCTCAATTATAGATTAAGTAAGAATAAAGCAACATGCTAACGTTTTCATTGATGTGAACTCCAGTCAGCCATAATGTGTTGGACAAAACAAGCATTACCTACTGCTTCACCTTAACTACAGAAGAGATAACCATCTATTTGTATAAGTGAAAAAGCTTTGCTACACTGAAAATTTTCATGTACTACAAAATGGAACATACACCCAAACACTTGGTAACTCGGCAGAACATCCTGCAACCACCTCGTAGCCCAGCAGAAAACTTTCTGTCATAAACCCAAATAGCCTGTCTTCTTTGCAGTAGAACGATTCAAATTTAAAGGTGACTCTGCTAATCTGGCAATTAGTGGTTTGCTTTGACGAGAGTACTATTGCTAAAGACTAATTTATTAAGATAAAAAATGCACTGTCATGGGATATTTTCACGACATTTCTACTATAAAAGACAGCTTATTACCAACAGAACTTTAAGTATTGTTTTTGCTTGTTTCTGGATGTTTTTTGGTAGGTTGTTGTGTTTTTTTTTAAACGAAACCTGAGAGCACGTTCTATTCTCTTTTATTCTCTTTTGGAGAAGAGAGGTGTTTTCTTGTGGTGGGTTTAATTTAAAAAGTTATGCATTGTTTCTGATACTCTGGTACTCTGTGAAACTTCAAATACAGTCTAAAGAATACAACAGCTCAAAAAAGTTAGCATTCCTTCAAAGTTATTAATACTGGATTATTTACAACATGAATAAACATTACAGTAGAAGCAAAAATAATACTCAAAATAAAATATGCAAAACCCATTAAATTTAATTATGTTTAATCCATGCCTTCGCATCTTGCTCAAGTCTACATATCAGCTTTATAAGACTATAAAGAGTTGAATAAATTCTGATCAAATTTAACTTAATAATCTGGGTATGTAACACAGTAGTTTACTATTTCACTATTCAATTAATGAATTAAAATTATTTCCTATTATATGTGATTACATTGAATAGTTTGAAGTTTTAAACTTGCACAATACAAACTTTCAAAATTACCAAATACATTCAAGGAAATGAGAGAGTGTTATAAATTACTCTATTGGTTCCAGACACATTTTAGAAGAAAATGAGAAAGAAAAATATGAGGAAGAGACAACAAATGGTTGAACATTTGGATTTATATATAATACATGGATTTATTTACAATAAAGGATAATCAAATATTCAAGAGAGCAAAATTCTGTAAAGAATTCAGAATATCACACAGAATTAAGGAAGAAGGGAGAGAAGTAGAACATAAAGTTAAAATTTTTACCATTTAGGAATACAAAAGGGAGAGTGACAGTACTGAAAAGCAGCCACAAGTTACATCCTCAGGGAGAACACTTGTCATCATATAATAAGTTTTTCCAAAGAAACTCTCTATACATCTTTTTTGCATCAGACGTCTCTGATGAAGAATGTAAATGTGGAACAAACCAAGTGTGTACACATCAATCTTAAATGCTGATAATTTTGTTATTCTGTTTGTAATTAATCAGCTTCAGCACTATATATCTTCTGATAGTGCTGAAATTATGTGCATTATGTGAAGAAACTGAAAGGCCTACTGTACTATTAGTATCAGCTGGGCATGTTACAAAAAAACATCCATTAGATACAAATAATTAAAGTTTTCAAATTTATTTTTTTTTAATGAAACACTAAGGCAGAATTTTAACATGTATATTCTGATGTCTATAGGATTACCATCATCACAACAGGAAACCTAAGTGGTACCTTAATGCAGTGTGGAAGTGTAATGTTTATTAAAACACCACTTTCACTTTTCTTTTGAGTTTCAGATGCTCTTACTTCTTGGCTTTTTCCCTTGAGACAATGTTTAGGATGCTTGGGGTATTTTTTAAATACTATTTTAAAGGCCCAGAAGATTAAGTAAAACACTTCTGGACCTCACTTCCAGAATGCACCTACCTGTCTTGCAAGTGTGCGTAACTTTCATCAGGCGCCTTTGCTAATCAATGGAATGAGATGCTATGCACAGTGTCTTATGTATCTTAAATAAACCTTAATTCAAGCTGAAAGGACTGTTACAGCAAATTTGTACTGTACTTTTGTAGAAAATAGACCTTAATGTAGTTGCTCCATACAATGTAACCACACAGCAAAAGAAGAGACACTTATCAGTACTGTATTTGGAGACCTTAGATGAAATACTAACTAAAATATAACTCCTAAAAAAAATAATAAAAAAAAAATATGTGGGCATAGCTCATTTATAACAACTTTTGCATTCTTGAAATCAAAACTCTAGTTTAATATTTAGTGATAAACATCCCTGAGTTTTTGGAACATTTGCAACTTCTAAAGAAAACTGTAATTTCTCTTCCTCTCCATTTTCTCTTAGATGTAGTAATATCCGCGTGTATCTTGAGGTTTTCACTCTGCAATTAATTCACCTGAGAATTTTGCACTTGAAATCTTTGCATTTTGGCTCACAGGAGAAAGTACATAAACTATGAAAAAGTCTTCATCTTAAACCAAAGAGAGCAATTAATAGGCCTGTTTATTTGCCTAATTTAAGCATCTGCTTAATTTCCTTAATTTATCTATGCTATACTGGAATTTAAGAGAAAACTCTGATGGGTCCCAGATTCAAAGCTTAAGAGGCAGTAGACAATCTCAATAACTGAAAGCAAATAGTTATGCTTAATTTTTAAAGACATTAACTCATGCAATCCAGACAAAACAGACCTGTAGAAAAGCCCACTTCCTTTCCACTTGCCTGTAATGTCTTGGAAATCAGATTTTTGTCAAAGGTTCTGTAAAGAGTAGACAATTATTTCAGATCTTGAGCAGAAGCAAGACAGTATCCAGACACATATGAGGAAATGTTAAGATTTTAGTCACAATCAATTGGAAATGCTATTTTGATCTTGATTCACAGATGAGAACTGGTATTTACTATGTCCCTGCTTGTTTTTAATAAGGAATTTTAGGCATATTTGAGCATAGAATCCATAAAGGAGATGAAAGAAAAGTAAAGAAATACAGGATTGGTTCTTCTTAATGCCAGTAAACAACTGAGCAAAACCAATAGTTGACACACCAGACCTGGAAAGTATGTCCCCTTACTTTCTCTAGATCAATTGGAAATGCTATTTTGATCTTGATTCACAGATGAGAACTGGTATTTACTATGTCCCTGCTTGTTTTTAATAAGGAATTTTAGGCATATTTGAGCATAGAATCCATAAAGGAGATGAAAGAAAAGTAAAGAAATACAGGATTGGTTCTTCTTAATGCCAGTAAACAACTGAGCAAAACCAATAGTTGACACACCAGACCTGGAAAGTATGTCCCCTTACTTTCTCTAGTACATGATACTAGAAACTGAAAAGAGATAATTTTTCAACTATCAGGTTTTCTTAATGGAAAAGAAAAACAATACATGAAGATAAACCTTAATGAAAAGAAGGTAAGAAATAAAGCAGAGCAGGGAATATATTAACAAAAGTACAAGCAAGTAAAGCCCTGAGGTAGGCAGTGATGACAGGGTTCATAATCAGTTGCATTTTCAAGACAGCTTTGTTTTTTACTTTTCCTTTTAATTACAGTCAAATCTCAATTACTATCTGCAATCCAGATCCATGAATATTGTGATGCACCTGTGCTACAGGTGCTGAGATGCACAAAATACCTCCCTGTGAGCTACTATCTGGAATGACAGAAGTTTACAGTAAGAGCCAGAGAGGCAGAGATCAACATTACACACTGCATCTCTCAACTCTATGGTCAACTACAGCATTTTCTCTGCCCAGCATATGAAGATGTGATGAAAGCCTAGTTTATGCTTTTTAGTCTTTATTATTTATTTTAAGAATGCATTCTGACTAATTTTCAAGGCTAACTTAAAAAAATTAAGTCGATCAAATCTAAAATGTGTAATTTCAAAATCTAACAAGACTTAAAAACTTTTACACTCTCAATGAGGGTAGTGTTTGTGATACACTGCACTGCTGTGTTCTGTGGATTCAGTAACTTCCTTAAAGTGCACGTGGTCTGCAACTGTTTTGCAAGTAAAATGAATATGAGTGTGCTCTAATGGCAAGACAAATGACAGAACCAGAAGTAAGTGTTACCCTTCTTATTGCAAGTCTATAATGCCAGATCACTGCTTATCTCATACAAAGCAATTGTGTATACCAGAGTATTAGTCTTAGATTGAAGTCTGACAAGTATTTACACTGCGCATTGAAGGAAATGGCTTTTCTGATTTATGGTTGGTTCTAACAACAATTGTACCCTAAGCATCTCAAGTAGTTTCTTATTTTTCTAAACAACTGAAATGTCTAATAAGAAATAATATTTAAAGTTACTATTCACAGTCAACACACCACTCAGTGGGACATGGCCTGTTTAGTGACACATATTTGGCATAGAACATTTATTTTACTCATTTGTGTGGGCTGTTTCCACTAGGATTGAGGCTGGGATAGAAAAGCCTGCTCTAGAACAAGTCTCTAACTCAGCTGTGTTTCCTGAGATGATGTCAGGGGTACTAATGTCAAGTATTTTGTTTAGACCTTTTATGTTTCTGTAAGACATTTTCAAATCTTTACGTGTACATATACACACATACTTAAGATAATGGGTATTAAATGGTAGCAGGAATTTATGAGCACTAGTACTGAACAAAGACAGATGACAGGAGACAGAAAATTGCACATGAAATTGCTCCAAGCTCTATTAAGAGGAAAAAACTGATTCAGAAATTCACATCCTTATATAAAACACTGATATGCCCCCTACTTCTCCTCTCATGGTTTTCTCCTCTGATGAATTGTAGCATCCCAGCATCAGATAGAAAAAGAATATGGAGAATTCCAAGACAAAAAGTAAAAAACTTAAGGAGTAAAAGGTGAATATTAAAACAAACAAATAAAAAAATACATGAAACTATATTGGAAACTAATTATCAAAAGGTTTAAACAATAAAAAGACAATTGTTTAATCAAAGAGTTATGAAGAGAAGTATTCATATGAAAATAAGTAGCAAAGAATTCAGAGACACTGCTATGAAGAAATATAATATTCAGGAAGCTGAGATTTTAGGAAAAAGAAGCCTAGAGAACACGCTTTTGAATACACTGATATGTCCAATCTTGTCCAAGAACCATGTAATAAATATTACCTTCTATTTAATTCTGGGTTGTGGTTTTTTTTGTTGAAATTTAATCTACAAGGCTCAAACTAGAAATCAGTGGCTAGAAATGGATTCTTGAAACTTATTGGACAATGTATGAAAATTAAAAATAAACTGAATTAACTATCACTTTTAATGTCTACTTCTTTTTTCTTACTAACTAGCTATTGAATAGTAATTTTTATGCAGCCAGATTTTGAAGAGAAACAGACTGATTTTAAGCATTGTTCATTTTGATATAATTTAAAATTACTCATACCAGAATATATGTTTGATGAGATTATGATGGATACCTTACACAGCAGGTGTCTGAATACAGAATCCAAAGAGGCCCTTCTTACTCTCTTGTAATACACTTACAGCAATATCAGACACTGATGTTGCATTATCCTTGTTCAGTTACAGTTCAGAGTTGTCATATTTAATTTACAAAAATCTGCTCTGTTATTCCACATTTTTTTTCTTAAAATTCTCTAATAATTGTGAAAGGGACGGTACAGCTTGCATGATCACCTCCTATACAGTATTCTTTCTGACAGACAGGCATTCTTGGGACTACAGCAGGCCATATTCTTATGGTTTCAACTTTTTATACCCATGGAAGACAGTCAAGTGGTCCCAAAATTATGTCAAACAACATTGTAGTTGGTAAATTATGGACTGAGCATATTGACATTTCTTTGCCCTGCATGTGTTTGGGAAGCAGTGGGAACATGTCATATACATAACCATAAAGGAAAGAACTTGGAAATACACAATAGATAAATTTAACTTTCTTTTAATTAACATAAAGGAAAGGGAAACAAACGTCTGTAATACCCTCTGCAGTAATGCAGCTCTCCCTGTCTTTTCTTAGGCAACAGAAAAAAGTAGCTAAACAGGCACCATATAACAATGAATTCTCAGCCTTTTCACGCCATATATTACTTGCGTTTATGTCAAATCAGTTAGTGAAGACTGAAACAACAAGGACCAAAGTGCAACATCAAATTTATATTCCATAGAAAACTGAATGCTAAGTATGATACCTTTGTGCAACAAAGGTTTTAGATGGGGGCAGGTGGGGAATAAAACATTAAAACAGTACACAGGCTGTTACTCCATGTGTTTGTAGGACTAAAATAAATGTTCTTAATCTATGAAACATCTGGGACTAAAAACCCAATTTGTTTTGGTTTTGTTTATTTTTTTAAAGAGTTAATAGTTTTAAAGTGTATAGCTTAGCTTCTACAATGTAAATCTACACAAAACTAATAGCACAGGTCTATCCTTTAGGCTTTTTTCTAGGAGTATAAAATATGCAGAATCCTACCAGGCCATATTGCCATGGGCTGTGTTGTCAAGGTGACAGAGTAGCTCCAGGGTTTGAGTGTTGCTTGATGAATCATCAGGGGATTCATGACTGCCTGATTCCAATTCCTTCGGCATCCTCCAAACAGCAGCACATGTCATGACTTTAGTGTCTGAAGCTAAGCAACAGAGAATAATGTCAACAGATCATTGCATGGGAGACATATTTTGTATACAGTGCATCAACATTTACACAAATCTATAAGCAATGCACATCTGCTGTTTAAAATATTTAAAAATATTATACCAAGATGAATTCAAAGAATGCAGAATGTAGATACAGACACAGACCTCCAGTAAGCAGTCAAGTTGCTGCAAAACTCATAATTAGCATGCATTTAATGTGCTTCTCCCTGTTCAAAGGCAAAATTTAGTGCTCATGAAAACATAACTCTTCAGGAGGCAAGTTTTCTAAGCTTCATTCCCCATATTGATGTTAATGAAAATGACCCATGAGTTACACTGCTCAATTAATTAACAATAAAGATTTAGACATCATTTTAACCCTTTCCTTTTCAGGACTATCTTCAGTTGAATCTATAGCATTATGTTGTGTTCTTTACTACCAATAATTGTTTATTGCAAAATTAAGATTTCCATGTAAGGACACGCTCTAATTCTAGCACAGAAAAACAGCTTCCAAAAGACAAATTGAACTTAAGACACATATAGCAAAATATTACAATGCATGAGGAACAAGCCAAGTGTAGATTGAGGAGAAAATACCATATGGTCTACACACATATGGCATTGCCCATCTCCAGTACCGCAATTTGTAGCAGTGCAAAATGAGAGGAGACCAGAGCAGCATTGCATATGTTCATGTTGTTCCAACTGCTGGTCCAGGGTTCACAGAAGACAAATAAGTCAGTATGAAGCACTACAGCAGTAACAGAACCCAGCCACAACCAGGTCAGGTAAAAGCAAGGGGGTGGCTGCCTGCTGGATGATGTGGTAAACGATAAGGCCAGCAATGAACGACATGCTTTCTGTTCTGAGGTCATTTTGCATGCCTTTCTTACAGTTGTCTCCATGTACATTTTAGCTGATTTTAGTGCAGAGTGCCTGATTACAGAGCCATGAGCAGATGTGACCGACTTAGACCAATGAAAAGGAAAATGGGACCAATTGTAATAAGCATGTTTTCCAGGATAGTAGCTCTGAAAAAAATGCCTTCTTAGGCAAAAATTATGTAATGGGGGGGGGAGGTCTACTAAATAATGTCAATCTGGATGCTCTATATGCAAAAAAGGCACCCAAACAATACAGAACAGGACAAAAGGCAAATTACGCATAGTCATACGTAGCAACTAAGCCCAAAAAGCAGGTGTGTTTAAAAAGTAGCCATATGAAATAAAAACCTTAGGTAAATAGGTCAAAACAGTAACAGTAAAAGGCCGTTTCTGTGAGGAGACAGGAGGAAGAGGACTTTAAATTAAAGCACAGAATTCAGAACACAAGCACTGGGTATTCTATTGATTGTGCTAAATACAAAATATATCTATGATGCACATAACTTTTCTACAGTAATTGGGCATATACAAGATGAATACAGTATCAGAAGACCATACATCTAAAGATGATGGATAATCCCTTATTTACTAACACTTCCTTGAACATTTACTAATTGTAGGGCATCCTAACTGAAGAGCTACTTCCAAATAATTTGATCCAAACCTACTCTAAATCCACATGCCCCTGAATGAAAAGGAGGAAGCAGCAGCAACACACAGCATGCCCTGTACATCATACAAATAATAAATAACCTAAACTGAAAGTGCAATATAGTTTAAGAAGGAGAAATATATCAAATGTATCACCTTGATGGTGTTCTCTCATATATTCAATAAAAAACACCATAATATGCATATCAAGTGTTAGCATTTCTACTATCACCAAGATGTATACAGAGAACTACAAAAGCAAATAATGGAAAACAAACTACGTTTCTCAAACCACTGTTTCTCTCAGCACAGCATCAAAAGTCAAGACAGCCTTGAAATGCCATTTTAGCTTATTATATAAACTGGAATATTTTTAAATTCTGATGGTGTTTTCTTATTAACAACTTTTTTTAAAAATAATGTTTTTTGGACAATCAGATTTCCAGATTGAAAATCCAAAACAACCAAACAAGCACTGGTTTGAAGTTGAGGAGAGCTGAAGAAAGAAAAGAAAATACGCATCCCCTAGAAATTTCAAGTGACCCAGGCTTCTGTAACACTTTGGCATTTTGAAAATTACCAATGAAATGAATCTGCTTGTATTTTTAATCTGTGCAGCAACTCTACAGAGATTTTATATTTGTTTTCAAATTACTACTACAGATGCTGCTAAGGATTATGTACCTTGATACTTCAGGCAGAAGAGATTTGATTGAGTAGTGAAAAAAGTTCCATATTTCCAAGTTTTGCAGCCCAGCATGCAGCATTCTCTATGGAAAGCTGTTTAGCTGCTCTGATATTGTAATGTGTATCAGATTCCATGTGCTCTTCTAGAACATAAGAGAAGCTGATCTTTTTGAAATGTAATTTGACTGAAGTAGATTTTTGTATTAATGGCTGTTATTATGAAGTTTGTTAGGCAAATTTTTAATATTAAATTTTTGTAATTAAAAATTTGCTCAAGTCTTCTATAATAGCACATTTCTTTAAAAGACAATTCTAAAATTAACCATACCTAGCAAACTTACTACAGATCCCAAAAACACAGTCAAATAGTGGCATTAGCTGTTATTTTCGTCCATCCAAGTTTACAGAAATATAATTAATCTATTTTTCATTAACATTAAGAACAGTTCAGTGAGGTAGCTGTCATTTCTTCTTGTTATAAATAGAAAAATGTTACTTCCTTCTTGTGACTACATTAATTACATGTTTATATTTAATAAGTTTCTTTTCACATTATCATCATACAAGTATAAAATAAGCTTACTACATCCACTTCCTCTTATAACATAGATATTCCTGTAAACAACTGGTAACAGTGAAAAGGGCCTAAAGTGCAAGTTGGCATAGAATTTCACATGCGGAATTCTGTGCCATTCCATGACTGTTTTACTTCATCGGGACTAGTGCTGAAGGATAAAATTAGTTGTGAATCAGAAAGTGACAACAATAAAATCCAACACATGGAAGAACCCTCAACACTCAGCAGGGACATTATCCTCTACTTTCAGCTGAGTTTGAAGATGCTTACAGAAAATAACATATCACTTTTCAGCTGCTGAATGACTACCTATCACAAACAACCGCACATGCACTGCAAATCTCCAGCTTTTAATTTTGATGTTTATACAAATTCTGGAATTAGTTACATGGCTGAAATCTGTTGAGAAGAGAGACTTGATTGAGAGCCGTATTAATTTCTCCTTGCTCCTTTTATGTACTGACCCTGTATTAATTCCCAGATTTGTGAAACCAAAATGGAATTGTCATGGCCTTCCATAGAAGTAACTTTAGATATGGCTGGCCTTAAACAAGGCTTAACTTCCCTTTATATATTTTTTATATATTTTTAAAAGGTACCATTTTCTCCCTAGTAAAAATGAGGACAAATACTAGTGCTGAATGAAAGTGTCACTCTGTTATGACAGATGAAGTGGAGGTTTTTTTAAGGGTTATGATTCCTCTTAATCAATCACTGGCAGCAAATGTACAGGAACCCACAGAATCAAGGTAACTCTCATTGCACAGAATTCCAAGTCCCACAACAAGCTTCTCATGCCTGTATGACAAGCTCACTGGCAGCACACACTATTTGTGGAATTCCCTATATAGCCTTATTTCCCAAGTGATAATATTAAAATTTGAAAACCCAGTATTACTAAGTACTTTCATTACCAACTCTGTAGTGCCATTGCTTATCTAGAATACCTAAAGGCAAAGAGAAACTCTAGATTTTCCCTTATTTTATTATCTTCACATCACTCTTCTTCATATATACATATAAAATGACAATGTTTTTATCTACCACCTCTCATATTTTTAAAAAAATGTTAAAAGGCCAATAAAAAAATTAATACTTAAATGAAAATAGCAGTTATTCTGTAAAAGAAAAAAAAACAAAACACAGTGTCTATTTAAGTCATGCTTCTACACCTTCCTTAAAGGTATTTACATAGTTGGCACCTACTTTTCCATCCCTACCTTATATTGAAAGCAGAATTTTTATTTATGTCACAACACCAGTGCAGAACATAATGAATAAGTTTAAGATAGTTTCTGTTGTAGTCTTATCACTGAGCATATTAATAAAACTGTTAGTGGGTTAAACTAAGTACCATTGAACCTATCCTGTGAACTTGAAAATTACACTATCATAGAGAACAAATGAAACAATGGCAGAAGGAAGTCCTACTGTATTCCTAAAGCATTGTTCACATAAAATGATCCAGGAATGAGACAATGAACTGTTTAATCTTTTGTCACATTTGTTCCTCCCCATTCAAGAGAAATCTCTCATCTAATCCATTGTGCATCTTCAGTATACCTTTTGCTAAGTTTACCTAAGGATGGACTTAGATATACTGTTCTAACTGCAACAACCCCCAGCTAGGCATTGCTTCCCCAAGTTCATCAATACTATTTCCTGGGCAGAAAATACCATCTGCTACAGTGACTCTACACAGCTCCCGTCTACCTAGGCTTAGAAACAAGAATTCAAGGAATAAGGAAATAATCCCATTTTGACAGCAGTGAGTTAGGAAGCAACTACAAACTATGCTGGCAGCAATGAGGGTGCAGTAACCAACCGCAGGAAAGAAACTTTGGCAAGTTCAGTGAAAGCCTAAGAGAGATAACCACAGCTACAGAGCATGAGGGTGTCTTTAGATGCCTACTTTACAAGTCAAGCAAGTGAGAAAACTCTCTGCATGCAGAGCGTGCAATTTGCAAAGGGTCACAACTTGGTCAAATCAATACCAATTTTCACTGCAGCACTCAAAAGGACTTCTCAATGAGGGCTATTTCCATGACAATTTTCAGCTTTCCACTACCAGCTGTTTCAACTCAGAAAAAAGTAGAAGTAGTAGACAGATGAAGCACCCTGTTTATCTTCCTCCAAACACTGTTCTCCTTGGAGAGCTGCTCCAACTTCTAGTAATAGCCTCTAAGAAAGA